TTAAAGCATATACTTAAAGGCTTTTGAGCTTACTGTGGTTACTCATGTACGGAACGATTACATATGCAGTGGGCAGGTTGAAGTCATGCGCTTTCACTAAGACTTGGCGATCAGTTATGCCAATTTACTGTTGGCGACAACTCCGATTCATTTGCAGAGCTAACAACTGAACAGGATGACCGGAGATATTGCCAAAATCCCCCTGAGGACTTTAAAATCATGCGCTGTTTTTTTAAAAAAACATGGTTGCAAAGAGATCAAAGAAAGAAGATGATTAGCTTAACAATGGATCTCCCAAAATGGGAGAAGATAGACGCGTATGTGTGGAATTTGAACAGAATAAATAGAGATTAGTTAACAATCCCCAAATACCATTACTTCCCCCCGCAACACTAGGCTGAGTACCATCATACATTTTAAATTTGAAATTGTGATAAAATGCGACATAAAATAATTATTTAGCAATGGAACGTTGAACAAAACAGAAAGGGATAAATAAGAAATGCAAGTCTAATGCAAGTTCATTTTTTATAATACACATCATTCATCCGCGAAAAAATATGGTTGCGAAAGCCACTGTTTCAAATTTCAAGATGGAAACCTTGTTTGCTTTGTAGTAATACGATAGTGTCAAAATGAGGACAGTCAACTTTACAGTCATGAGGTAGATTAGGCGTAAAGTCAACTGAGCATTGAAAAACGACTTTCAGGACGAGCTCAGTTTCATCTAGTTTCAGTAATTAGATCGGGGAGATGGAACCTGATGACAGCAACCTGGATTGAGGACAACATTAATAAACGAGTGAGACCATTTCTTCCTTTTCTTTAATCTGCACAGAATTTGGTTCGGGTTAACACTTATCCACAAGCAACTACCTGAAGAATTTCCAAATTCATCAAGCTTACAATCTTTGTGGATGAGATGCACGACAACACCAGATCAAAAAGACTGATATGCGTATGAGAAAGTGTCACTCGAGAAAAAACATCTTTATTTGTAAAGCGTCATTTGTAATGAACCTGGCCAGCAGTGTTTAAAATGACGATGTAATGTATTTCATTAATTTTCTATTAATTACTTGGTTTATATCACAGTTTAGGCTATTCAACCGATTATTGTGATGTAAACTGTTCAATAATTAGCCTGTTATTTGTAGTTATAGGGCATGTGCAGGCTATAAGGAGGAACTCTCCCGATTAGCTGTAGGAATCAACATAAGCATTAAAAATAATATTGTTGGGAACGTGTAAACAAATATTATCTTTAATGGGGTGGTCAACACTGCCACGTATTATTTGCTTCAATTTCTGCGAAAATGGCAAGTAAAAATAGATTAGCCCTCCCCAGTCTTCCCTATAGACCACATCCTCAATGAGGAGATGTTCACATATTCTTATTTGGCTTTTATTGTTTACTTCTCAAAAGATTTCAAATTGTATGATTGATAGATTAGGTCAATTGACAGATTATTGCTTTTCTCATAAGAGTGAGGTAAATCTGAAGGCTCAATAAACCTAGGCCACAGTCGCTCCGATCATTTTAGGAGCGGCTCGTTGACGTTCATTCACTTAGAAGGAAGAATATAGGGGCGAGATGGGCATCTGGCGATTAGAATTGCAGTTTCTTTTGGTCTTGTGTGTGAAAGGAGTAATCATTTATATCAAGCGGCAGGCGTTTTGATCGTTATCAATAGCCCTTTAGTGGACTTTGGGCTTCACCGAAGGGGAGGAACGTCAAAGTGAAAAAAAGCCGAGAGTGGGGAACAGAAGAGTTTTTCACGGATGCAAATGAGACAGACAGATACAAATGTAGGGAAAAGTTAAGATGGGTACTGTGAAAGTAGTTGAAAATGACATAGAGTGGGGTCATGTTAGTTAGAGGTCAGAAGTCAGCTGCCGGTTTATAGACTTTTTTGCCGTATGAATATATGTTGCCCAGGGTGCACCACGTGGAAGTAAGTCTATCGCACACCCCATGAGTAAGCATAATTTGAGTAAATGGATAAGTTCCGGAAGAATCTCCCCATCTTAAATCAAAACGAAAGGGTAGGACAGTATTACTTGATCTGTTTAAATGAACGAAAAACTAGTCTGTGCTTAAAGAGGCAACTTAAATCCAGGACGATATTCAAATTTCAATATTAGGGAGAAGAGGGGTAGTGTTAGAAATAACTGCAAGGTTTCTATTAGCTGGTTTTACTTTTCATTGTTATATACTTCATACACCCTATTCAATGACTCTGAACGAAGAATACTTTGCAAACGCATTTTCCGGCACTTTGTATCCTCTTTTAAGAGCGAAAAATTACCCCCCCCCCTCCATCGGTAAGTTGCATTTGTGTGCGCAAAAGGTGCATTATCTGAGGTCATGTCGTATTTGCCTTGACGACTCAGAAGTTACGAAGACAGAAATACACACACACACGAGAGCGCAAATTTTAATTATGCTCGACTAATGATTAAACGCCATTAAGACTTGACGATTAGCAGCCCAGCTACATCATAAATGCCAACTGCGATTCGAATTCTCACCTAATAGCTGTGCAAGATGACACTTGGCTCTGATGGGCGCTTCAATAGCAAAGCCAGTGTAAAAGCCCTTGCCAGATAAAGAAGGTTGAATTCCGTTCCAGTCAAGTCATGAACAAAAAATCAAAGTAATTTCGGCGAACATTGACGCAAAATATTTTTTTCATAACTAAGGTCAAATCCTTAATGGATATTATTCTCAAAAGTCTGCCTATATAGCAAGAACAGATCAGCCTAGCTTTACTAAATTCTAGGGGGAAGACAAGCCCTTCAAAATTCCCAAAAAATTCTTTCACAAGCTCTGGACTAAACTTCCGCTTTTATGAATAGTTATAAATACCCGAGAGAGGGAGAGAGAGAGTCCTATACAATAACGCAATTTAATAAAATAAATTGTTGGACAAAAACAATGATTGGCGAACTCATTGTAGTATGAGATTAGAGAACGACAAGCCAAGCTCTATTGTCTAAAATTTTGAATTCGCCTTCAAGACTATTTTTTGGAGAGTACCGAATAGAGGATTTCTTATTTCGTTTATCAAATGGAATTTGTTTTGAATAAACTCAATTAAGTTCCCTCTATATATGGCCAATGGAAATGACATCTACTAGAATTAAGCATATATAGGGATGCGCGATAGGCTTACCTATTGTTCACCCTTGGCAACATACTCATACGGCAAAAAGTCTATAAACTGGCAGTTGACTTCTCACTTCAAACTACCATGACCCCACTGTGTGTCATATTCGACCCCTTCACAGTACTCATCTTACCTTTAATCTGCCTTTGTGTCTGTCTGCCTCTTTTACGTCTGTATATTACCCTTCTGTCCCTCCCCCTCTACTTTTTGTAACCTCGGTGTTTTCCCATCTGTGTTTTGGGATAATGATAACTATCATAAAACCTGCTATTTGATCTAAATAAATAAACTACAATTATATGTCAGTGATCATCTCAATAAATCCATCGATTATCGAGTTATGAGTGCCGAGGGCACGAGCTAACTCGTCGTTTTTAGAGATTTCACTGAGTGAGCTTTGTTTTCAATTGTTTAGAATGAAAAAAACTGAACAACGTTATTTTATTTTCTAAACGATCTTGAAACCAAACCGGATTAAGACAACGATGTCTTTGTTCAATTGGTTGATCAGAAATTCATCTCTATCAATCATGCACCTTTATAAACACAGGTGGACATATAAATTAATTTTAATTGCAGTGTATGCTGATTTGTTTGTGGGACACCATCACCACCACACTAGCATAAATTATGCAAAGTTTACGTTTTTCACGAATAGATTCACTTAGTACTTTATGTCAGTGATTTGACCAGTTGAGTGGCACACGAGTGGTCTGCTTGTGTGGCCTTCATTTTCATCCTGTCCGTGTCCTTGAAAAGCGGACAGCTAGTGGAATTCCGGTTTTGGTTTCCACCCCTTTTTGGTGTGATGAAATGTGTTTTGATGTAAGCTCGAGTTATTTGGAACGGAAGATAAGAAAATCTCACTGTTATGACACATATATTTCAGCAGCGTTAGAAATAGCGATCAAGCAAAAAATATCCCTTTGTCCACAATGCATCGAAACTGGTTCTCCCGCAATAATGACCTGATCTCCCAACCCCTTCAATCCTACAGTAGCTAAGCTTAAAAGCCTTTCCTGTCATGTATAATTCTGCCGCAAAAATGTTAACAGGAGGAGTCAAAGTAATTAGATAGTTGTCGAATTCACAAAGTGTGAGGCGCGGGAAACTTAGAATGGATAAGAGTTGGTATTGCAACTGTTCTTGTAAACTTTGTTTACTGTCGAATGGAAACCATGCATTTGGTCGATTCAGAATGAGTAATGAAAGAATAGAAAAAACGGAAGTACTTCTGTAAATGGGTCTTATAGCGCTGAATGACGCAGTTAAATTAATAAGTTAATTAATTAAACCTAAATACGAAACACCGAAATACTTAGTTACTAAATACAAAATTCCACAAGTCTCTCGGTTCGAAACACTAGAAGTTAACAGCTAATTGGTAACTTACTTTATAGACATGTAATTGATAGGAATTTAAGAAACTGTGAAAAGTTGAAGTTTATGATAGAAATTGCACAGTGTATGGAGGTAAGTCAGCAAATGAAACGCTTTCAATAACGCCAAGCAGTAATAAAGTAGAAGTTTGCGGACACAACTTGGGCTGCCTTTTCCAAGTGCATCACCTGATAAATTGGAAATCTTGGTACAACTCTCTCGACCTTTGGCACTTTTCGTGAAAAGTACATATACGGGGTGGGAAGGGGTGGAGTTGACATTCACATGAAAAATATCTCTTTGCAAGCCTCACAAGCAGAGATGATAGAGAATGCATGTATACATGTACTTATAGCATATTGGATTTCATGAAGAGACAAAAGATGATTATTGTAGAAGCTTATAAACAAGTTATGATACATTCAAAAATAAATTAAAGAAAGTTACGGTTTAGTGATCTTTGGGTTCATTTAGTGGGGTCGAAGAAGACCAACTCGAACTATTTGTTACCCGCACATCTAGAGGAGATTGGTTGACACACTTCCTTTTAAATGCTCTTGAGATCCTCAGACAGAGAACAATAGAGATAAAACAGGAGATAATCAAAATGAGAAGGAATATTGGGAGAAATATGGTGAGAAATATTTGCCCATTTTGAAGTTGCGGGGCAGATGTAATAATCGCAAGTCTAGAAGTTGTTGTATGAGGTGAAATGGTGGTTGTTGATGATTGAATAGAATTACTCAGTGCCAATTTAAGTGCCATATTATTTCGACAGAGATGATCCTCAGAGCATACTCCAATACGACAGGAGGGTAGACTGAGACTGTTGTTGAGATTGCTTATGAAACCCAAATTTTTAATAGTCAAAGGAGGACCGGGAAATATTCGAAGAACACTCACTTCTGGTTGTTGACTGCATCTAGTGCAAATAAACTGAAGATTCCTACCCTGACATCCAGTCAATCTAACGCTCTTAAATGCACTACCGAAAGTGAGATATCGATCAAAATTAGATTTACAATGAATAACGATATTTTCAAGGCTGGGAAGTACAGCTAGGCTACAGGCTTCAAGTCCAATAGGTGATCGCCAAGCATGGAGGTTCCTTAAATCCGGAAGACCGGTGAATGCAAGGGCATCAAGAAGCCTTGTTTGTAGGGGAATATTTAGTTGTAGAAAAGAGACTCTTCCACCATCTTGCAATCGGCTCAAACCGCCGGGTTCTATAATCATTCCAGGGAAATCAGAAGTGGTGAGCATTTTAGAATCTCCAATGCGTACACTTTCACCTGATCGATGGCAGTAAACAGGGGTAAATTTGGAAGATGGAAGACTAGCCTTTTTCGAAGCACACCTTAGCATCAGCGTGTTAGAAGATTTTTGGTACCCACAGTAGCACTGCGTATCATTCGTCGCAGGAACAGTAATAGATCCACCAAGCATTATTAAGCAATGAAACAGAATTAGAATGAGTCCTGCCATAATTATTCATCCCGAGTTAGTCATTACACCGTCGATAAAGCTAGGGGGTAATCAGGTTAACTAAAATGCGTCTTCGGCATACATATGAAAACATCCGGTGTGAACAGAACGGTTAAACCAATAAAAACGCACGGTTGGGGTCTGACTATCTGTGGTTATGGGCCTATCAGATTGCCGTGGATGCGCGACTAGAATGACGGTATTGGTGACAGGAAATAAAGAGACCAAAAAGGCATTCAACTCTAGTTTTAATATCAGTCCAAAATTTTCCCCGAAATGCAAAATCTTTGCAATCCTTTTCACTGCTATCTCACAAAATTGCAGTTGAAATAAGTTGAAATTTAAAATCTGAAATCATATTCCCTGCAGATATTTTGGCGTGTACAGAGTCTTTTGTCACTTAAACAAGTTTCTTCCTACTCTATGGAATCAATAACCCTGCAGTGTTAAGGGGAGGGGGATTACTTTGAGGGACATTATTATGGGTACTTAACTGAATGAGATTGACAAAATATTAATAGAAGCAAGCCCTCACTCACAAAAACCATTTTTCATCCACTCCCTCTTAACAATTGCGAGGAATGCGGTTTTGATTGACAAAAGGGCTTCAGCATATATCTCTGCAAATAGACTAAATGGTAAATTGTTAGAGCCGAAACTTCACGTATACTGTTTAAACGCTATGCTGCTTTTAAATTGAGATAGTTGATTGTCACCTCAATCTGCGATGGAAATCTTCTTTCGTTATCAAGTTAACTCGAATTGGTTTGCGGAAAATGGTGAATAAAAGTATAAGTGAATATGAATCTTTATCTAGAAAAGCAGACATCCACTTCTTGAATTGTTTCCCTATTGACAGTTCTAGGTATCCTGATATACAGACACCAAGAGTCATTTGATCGTCTGAGAAATCTTTACTTAATTTTAAAGGAACTTGCGAATTTTCATTTCCTACCAAGTGCAATACAAAACCACATATCTTCCATATCAGCTCATAGTTTCACACGAACACTAACTGATCATTTGTTGATAAAAACGGAATAGATGAATTAAATTATAAGGAGAGTCTTATATCAGTTCGTTTTCGATTTTATTTCTCTTCAACTTATTGATTCGTATTCGTTCCCCATTTACACCCACTCGTATAAACTTGCAATCAATGATGATTCTTGCTTAAAATCCTTCTATGTGAGGCATTACAATTCCCTCCTTCTTGAAACCAATCTTCTAACGATAATGCCCATGAATTCCAGCTAAATTTGGGGAGTGACCATCTGATTCTCTAAGACAAAATGTCCACTTATGCATTTTCAGGCCGACCATTCATGCCTGCTTTTGGCTCTATATTCGAAAATTGCACTACACCATTGCAGGTGCACTCTCCTTTCTTTTTGACGTGGCCTTGTGGATGGGCGGATGGAGGGGAATTGGGGTTGGAGGGGGGGGGGGTTTTGGGAGGTACCAACAGGTGTCTGCTATCGTTGGATTCGAGAAGGAAATACAAGCACCACGAGAGGCAGAAGGAAAATGCTACATTCCTAAGTTGACCCCCAAGGAGGTTTGAGATGCTCTTTCCACTTATGCATCAAGAAAGACCTGAAACGTAACACACAAAAGCGAACAGTAATTTATAAGGGATTTAATTTCCCCAAATTCTAGCACTAATGTGCTGTCGGATTATATGTTTCCTTTCTATCAATGTCCTCCGAGAGTTTTACTTCTTGTTTCAAATCTAAATTGAAATGAGAAAAAAATCCTAAACACATTAAAACACGTTTTTAGCACATCTATTTAAAGCTATTCCTAATGTATTCAAGAAACAGGCAATATTGTGTTTTGCTACTCAGTTTCACATTTGGCATTTAATAAGATTACGATGCTGATTGCAGCATTTTTTAATAATGCGCCCAGCATAGTTTTGAGTCTTTTCAATTCACCTTTGAACAGAATCTATGAAATTATGAGAATCACTCTCATTATTGGGGGTGCTGTTAAGAGGAGCGTGTAGGTGGCAATTAAGCGAAATCACTGCTAAATCATTGGCTAACTAAGCAGTCACTCAATTTTCGATTTCCTTTTTATCTGCTAAATGATATCATTCAATTAATAGGATGCAGAAAGAGTGTGAGAGAGAGAGAGAGTGTGTGTGTGTGTGTGGGAGCGTGATTTGTACCCCAGTTGTTCTCTTTTCTCATTTACGGGTCTGAGCTACCGAATTTACTTTTATTGGTAAATTTGAGTTTGGTGACTTTAGCTGGCCACCTAGAATTTACCGAAAGCCAACTTCCTAGCCGGCATTTGTATAGTCAAAAGTTGTAGGATTCGTAAATTCGGCTTATGCATGAAAATTGAGAGATGTTCAAAACCGGGATTGTATCATTATAGCGGTGAGAACTCACACGTCTCAATAACATACCATTTGATGCCAGAGTTCCAGCTGTATAATAGGAACTCTTGGTAACCATGATGAAGCATGTTAGTTCGAATTGAAAATGCGGTCTGTTTTCACAACAAATTTTTCTCAACTCTATCTCCCAATCAATGTGAGGTCTATTTTTCTTCAATCCCACAAATTTGACTTTAGACTTTCATGTAATTAGCTGATGAGGCGTATTAAAGTCCACACAAAGACCTGAAAGAACTCCCAGATTTACCAAGACCAATTGCATCAAACTGCAGTATCTACTTATTAAAATATTTTCGGCAATCAGCAATTGTAGTTTTACGCAAAGCAAAATTAGTAGGCTAGCTGCAAAAGGGTATTAATACCTTAAGAACTTTATTTAAATATTTTACTGATTTCTACCTTAGTTCTGCTTATAAGACACGTAATTTCTGATGAGTTTCTCAAATCCGCGCACTTTTTCCGGAACTGAAAAGTTGGCCTTCCGTTTCTACGATATTGAGCTCCGTTTACCCTATTTGCACACAAATATAACGTAACTGCTTAACTTTCGTAATGCATTAACTACTAAGGTCAGTTTTTGAAGCAGATAACTGGAAGATAAAAATTTCAGCAAATAATACATTTGTCCTATTTTTGCAAAAACGTTTTCAATTGATACCAAATAAACTTTGACATTGTATATGGTCACTCAACGGTCTCTTAATTAAGACAGCTGGTTTTTCTTAATGCCATTCGTCCATCTTTTTGACTCGTTCCCTGCATTCATTCTAAAATTTCATTTATCTTTTTGGGAAATGAAAAGGATTTTTTATTTTTTTAATACATTTTTTCCTCCACCGATTGACGCATTTGGATGGTATTCGGAGTTGGAGTTGGGGCATTGGGTAATGACAATACTCAAAAAGGTTGTTGATTTTTGTGGTATTTGAAGCTCTCTCATTGCCGATGGTAGTCCCACTTCGTTTCCCTTCTTCTTCAACTAACTTTCGCATGCCTCATCCACATGCAGTTCTGTGCTGTGGGGGTTTATTAGCACGTTCATAACATTTTTCGTTGACAGAAGAGTCGATGAGAATAGTAAAGTCTGAACCTGTTCAGCTACTTCTTATATTTTCGAGATTTGGAAATAATTCACTGATGATGAATTTTCCATTTCCACAGTGTTTTCAATTTCCCCCACCTGAAAGGTTTCTACTTATCATAAATATATATGTTTCCCGCACTCCGCCAGTTGACGAGCACAAAACTGTATGCTTAAAGTCTTTAAATCAATTGTCAGAAAGGAAGGAAATCATGTAAACTAACAAGTAATCCTCTGGGGATTCTAAATATTTATTTATATCAAATGGCAGGCGTTTTGATAGTCATCGATAGCCCTTTAGTTGACTTCAGGCTTCACAGAGGTGGAGAAACATCAAAGGGAAAAAAGTCGAGAGGGGGAACGAAAGTGTTTCAAAGATGTACAAGAGACAGACACACAGGTCCGAGAGCAGGGTAAGGTGAGTACTGTGAAGGTGGTGGAATATGACATAGAGTGGAGTCATGAATGTTTGAAGGGAGAAGTCAACTACCAGTTAATAGACTTTTTGCCGTATGAATATACGTTGCCCCGTAGGCACCACGTGGAGGTAGGTCTACAAATTTATTGATCTGGCTATTTCAGCCATGGAGTCCACAACTCTTTGATTGTTAAGATTTGTCATAAACTGACAACCAGTGGTGTTTACTAGAGTATCATCCAACTAATTAAATTGCAAATGACAAATATATGACAGGAGAGCCACTTTTACCTCAGTTGTCTTGCCTGAGTTTAACAGAGCATACCCCAGTCACCATAGCGTTATCTTCCTGTATTTGTTGTTAACTTTTAATTGAATGCGAAAAATATTCAGTTATTATAAGTTGCCTTTAATTCCTTTATTAATTGTACTCGGACAACTTTCCAAACGAGGAATTGAACTTACGCTTCACAACACACGTAGGAGTTCTGTCGCGGTTAGAAACATTATGAAAATGAAATCTAATGAATGTTACGGATAGAATACGAGACTACAAAATAACCAAGAACGTGGAATCGGTACAAATTTTGTAGTAAATTTGAGCCATGCCAACTTATAAAAATAATGCTCCAATAACGCAGGATTCAACTCAGCACATAACACCTCGTTACTGCAAAAATGCTTAAATAAGCGAATAAATTAATAGAATAACAGCAAGCAATAACTGAATGGCAGATCCTACTTTCCACTGGTTAATTTTTCTGACCGGGTTTTAGGCCAAGAATCCACTCGGCCACTTGCACTTAATTACGCTTATCCGGATATGACCCCCCCACCCCCCACCCACCCTTAGTGCACACAGGGCCACCTAGGAGTGAATAAGCCCAAAACTCTTTCATGGCAATTTACATAATTGCCACAGTCTCGCCAACTATTTCATCCCAAAGTGCTGTTAAAGTTCAGTTATATACTTCCACTGAACCATACGCGATTTCTCGTTCCCTCCAAATCAGCACTGCTCCTTACAAGCTTGGCTTCTTTTTCGCTTTGATTAG